CCTTCTATGTCTAGAGTTTCTGCTGCTTCAGTCTGGGACCTCTGTGTCAAACACAGACAGGATCTCACTGGCAGTGGGGGGACCAAGACCCGAGAGAGAGAAGGAGGGCTACTCAGCAGCAGCTGCTTTTTCCTTTGGGATACTCATCCTTAGGCACCTTGATAGTGAGATATGCACATGCCCAGGCATATGTCCCACACAGCTGTAGTTTCCATTACACTGTACAGGGATGCTGCACATCTAGCACAGGGTAGAAGAGGTGGGTTCAGACCTTGACTGCACTTCCTGAGTTGAATTTTGCATTATTGTGAACCCTGTGCATGTGGACAAGACCTCTTGGACTACTGGTAAATAGCTCCATTTAACTGACTGTGATGTCTCCAATCCCCTATCCAAAGAACGAGCTTTGAAATCAAATGAAATGGCTAGACTTGCTCTGCTGATGCCTGCCAAGGGCTGCTGTTATCTAGCAAAAGCGACTCCAAATGGTAGCTCCAAAATGGTACAGAAAGCTCCAGTGATTGGCACTGATGTTTCAATTTTCCATGCTAGAGCTTGGCAGGTGCCTTCCAGAAGGGAGATGAACTGAAGGACTCAGTGATCTTCAATATGAAAACAAGTCTTTGTGTACCACAATCTGTCTCTTCCTTCTTTACAACAACATAGCCCAATCTCCCCAGCACTGCTGTGATGGAAGAAGTTCACAAGTGATGGGGAAAAAAGGAAGTTTGAGGTCTCAATGCTCTGAGAAGTCCCACCAGAAGCAGGGTCAGCTGGAGGTAGCACAACAGTTCCCATAGAGTGCAGTGCATAATCAAGACAATTTAAATCTGAGCTGCTTTGAATTGCCAAAGGGCAAGTCACCAGAGCTCCTTCATCCGATACAACAAGAGGCAAAAGACACAAATCGTTTTCCTTGAATGCTGAAGGACTGGTTAATCACCACCATAGTACCTGATTCATGGTTTGGAAACACAGCTCTTCTGGGGAGAATCACCTCAGCTAAAAAAAGAAGTGGGCCAATACAGCAGATCAATTGGAGGGGGAACCTTCAGGCCCTGGGTGCCAGCCCATTACCTGGAGGTGAATGCTCTTCCCCCCTGCCCCCACCATGTGGCCCGGCGACCCCGTAAGGAGCTCACACAGACCACCAGGGAGGGAGAGACGAAAGAGGAAGTTTATTGTGGGGATAGGGGTTTATAAGGCTTTTAGGAGGGTTAAAAGGGGACCAATTACAGCTTCAGGGTCTTGCAGAAAAACCAATCAGTTAACAGCCAAGAGGAAGGGGTTAACAAAGGCCAATGAGAACACCTCAGGACATCTTCCCAGGACACTCCTGTATGGGGGATAAGAGTCCTTCACAGAGGGTGTCGGGAAGAAGGAGCAGCGACTTTGCAGAAACACAAAAAGCCATTTTAAGACATGTTTAAACAACATTAAAAACTTTTGTTTCTATAACATTTGAGCTGTTTCCTTCTTTTTCTTTACCAGTCCATCTTTGACAGGATTTTTTCCATCCTACATATGGTAAATCCATTGCCACAGGCCAAGGAGCTTGGCAAATTTGATGCTGGGAAGACGGATCTGCCTGACAGATCGTACTACCATTTCCTGCCTCTCTGTTTGGGTTTTAGGCATCAAAAATTTAGCAGACCGTACATTTCTTGGGACAAGCTTTTCCCCTAGACAAAAAATCCATGTCCTATGGCAAAAACTATCCTTGAGAAGTATGCAGTTGACCAGAGAGAAGCTTATGATGGAGAAAAGATATGATGTATGAAAGAGGAAGTGCAAGTCAAAATGAATGTTGTTTTTCCTTTGCTTTTCCTTGCAAAGAAAATCTAGGAAAAAACAGACTGCTGCACATAATATAAGCTAGGAAGGAAAAGCAGAAGTGATCTCCTTGTATTTTTGTGTCCTATGCAGGAAGCAGCATACAGCTGTAGATATGTCCCTTGCATCGGAGCTAAAGATCTCCTGTTTGAGTGCATGGCCTCACATCCTTAGTGCAACCATGAGCAACTGCCTAAAAGAGAACAAAAAGACATCTTACAACAAAATTTTATGCTTTCATTTCATAATGAACTAGTGGAAAACTAACAACATGGTGAGGGGAAGGGGAGAGAAATGCTATGTTCTCATCCAATCACGAAGTGCAGCAAGAAATCCTCTGCTGCTTCCACAATGACTTACACAAAGAGGAAGGAATATGGCTGAACAATTAGCTTTGCCACTTACTGCTCACTTCATTTCAAGTTCACTGCTGCTGCAGCCTCTCCTGAGCACTAACAGCAGGTATGATGTTTCTGGTTAAAGCAAGTGAAGTATCTCAATTTGTTTCCATTGATACAAATTTCTTCCACACCCATAGCTAAGGCACTAAAAAGCAGTGATCAGTCCAGCCAAGGGATGGGGAGAAAACACAATACTATGCTCTTTTTTTTTTTTTTTTGTCCCCTCTAAGAAGGAGAATAATATATCTTTGAATAGTCAGAAATTCCCTTTTTTTCCTTGATGGAAGATTTCTAGGAGAAAAGATCAATACGGCGACTGATTGCTTCAAACATTTTTATACTGTCTGTCACTGACCCCTGAATGGGATGTATTCTCTACACGACACAGGGCCTGCTGAGGAGTTACTGGATGAGCTTCTATAGACTATGCTGTACAAATCACTTTATGAGTACAATAGTCCCTCTTGACCTCCTAAAATGCATTGGTACATGCATCGTTCACCTCCAATGAAAGGAAGACTATTTACCATTTCCATTATCTAGTTCAGGGGAATATTTGGAGAATCAATTATCTCACTAAAGGAAGAGAACTTTGACACCGCACCCCAAACATATACACGTAATGGTGTTAAGAGCAGATGGCCACTTTGGCTTGTCACTCACCCGAACATTACAGCAGATTTTTGTGAGAGATGGTCCTGTTATATCTGATAAACCTCCCTTCATGACCTCACACTCTAGGTAACACAGACAGACAGACAGTGAAGTGCTTTTAGGACAAAGAGGATGGGGGAATCTGGCTACTTGCATCTGATTTAGTCATGCTTTGGGAACTTTCAGATTTGCTGTAATTATTTGCATGGGGAGGTCTTTGCATTTCAAAGCACCATGTACTAAACAAATATAAACTTTCAGGACAAACTTAAATTACACTATCAGAAATCAAGAAGTTTGATTATCCTTCTTTTTAATTTGTCCCCTTACGTGCAACTCAGTTACTCTTTGTCTCTGCTGCTCTCAACTATAAAAATACATCTTCAATTTCCTTCTAAACTGAAAACATAGTCCTTTCATAGGATCACAAAGGACTGTGCTTTTTTATTACCTTTTCTGCAATTGCACACAATTGTTGATTACTGCACTAAAATACCGTGGGTGTAAGCAGCTGAGAAGCCAGAAAATATTAGGTAGTAAAGATAAAAGCATTTAACTGTTTCAGAAACGTTCTCGCACATGGTTCTTATTTGTCCTCAGCTGAGAAACAAAAGGCAGCTTTATCATTATTACTGTAATTATCATTGCTGTTGTTGCTATTATTTATTATTGCTTTGGCCAAAGTCTCACTTCAGCAGGGAACTATCAAGCAACAAAAGTCTCCCAGCCCAGGCAGGTTTAGCTTTGCTTTTGACTCCTTCAAACATTATCAGCTCTGACCAGTGCCACATCCAATCTGTGCAACACAGGCCGCATGAGGGGCTGTCACAAGGGAATAGCTTGGAGAAGCTGAGCTCTAAAACCAAACTGTTTACTTTGCACTGCCTCAGCATTGCTTATCTTTCTTCTCAGAAGGCAAATGCAGAGTAAAACCACTCTTGCGCCAGAGCTGCAACCAAGAACTCTTTGGCACAGACTCAGAGCAGCTGAACATCCAGAAGATGCTGCCATTTAAATTGGAGAATGCTCAGTTGTAAAGATTCTGCTGCTTAGTTGCTGACAGCCTGAGAACACTCAACATCAGCATTTCTCAAACTGAGACCAGCTTCCCTGCAGAGGTTGGAGGCCTGCAGGAAGCACCAAAGATGTATTTAGCACCAAATCCTTTCACCAGTTATGACAAAATTTACAGAACAACTAAAATGCACAGGATAGATATGTTGTCCTGAACCCTAGCTCAGCCTGTAAGTGCCTGTGTCACCAACTGGTACAAGAAGATGCTTCTCATTAATTTTGTCAAATGTTACTATTGTAATTAATTTTTAAATTCAACAGAAACCATAATTTTTGCTTTCTCTTTTTCCAAATTAGTACACGGGAGGACAAAGTTCATTAACAGTGTCAAGACAGTGATTTTGGGTTTTTAATTTTTTGTTGTTTTTTTTCTTTTTCTGAGGACCAAAAGGCCCCTAAAACCTGTAGAACTTCATGACGCTGCTAAAACATCTGTTGTTGGCAAAAACGGAATTTTCATTGATAAGGGAGAAACAACTGCCCAATTCACTGTTAAGTCTAGTAAATAGGCAAGAGGAGGCCAAAAGGTCACTCACAAATGGCTAAACATGCCAGACACTATACAAGAACAATTCCTTCTAGTGGGCTTGACATGGAAACTACATTTCTAAGGCTCCTCAGTTTGTTACCTCTCTCTCAAAAGCAAGAACAAAAAAAATTCCTGACCTATATTTAACATGCTGAGTCCTGACACCTGTCTTGCTTTCTACAGAAACAATTACTTACCTCTCTTCCATTTCCAACCAAGCTGTCTGATATTCTAGGAATTTGCTGCACACTATTTCTCAAATCCTCACTCAGGTTTGCACTGAAGCAAACCCATTGAACCTGTTCTTCTCGCTTGTTTTGATTCAGTTCAAAATTAGGGTTTCGTTATTCCTGCCCTTTCCCTGAGCTCCTGCCCTCAGACTGCCAAACCCCAAATTCACAGCTCGCTGTGGCTTCCATGGAGCTGCAAAGGCTTTGTGACGCCCGTACGAAACAAACATGATTTTCTCAGTAAAGCTGAGCTTTCACGGACGTGCCCCACGTACTGACCTCCACCAGTGGCCTGGGTTTGCGCTCCACTGCAAACCTGAAGTGGCAGAGTTCACAGCAGCTGGTGTTTGAAAAGGACAGCCAGTGCTCCAGGCAGCTGCGGTGAATGGTCCCCAGGGTCCCTGTACATTCGCAGGGGGACAGTAGGTCCTCGTGGCTGCTGCCCTCGTGGCAGATCCTGCAGATCAGCCGGTCATTGAAGGGGCTGCTGGAGGAAGGGGAGAGAAAATCACTGGTCAGTACACCAGGCTCCGTGCATGTCACGAATTAACAGTGCAGGAAACACTTGTAGATTGAGTACTTTGCTCTGTAATTACTACTCCAAGCTGCTGGGCCAACAGAAAGTGTAAAGCAAAAACACCAGAGTGGAAGGTGAGAGACAGATAACCGAGTGCTTCTGCATTTTTGTATTTCCCACCTCTTCACAAAGCAGTGGTGCAAGAAATCTCCAAGTGCATCAGGGAAGTTTTAAATCTGCCTCAGCTGGGCAGCTCTTATGCTAGTGGTGATGTGTGTCATCACTCCTCATGTACAGGGTGCCACCTCTTATTCCAATGGTGATCCTCTGGCCTTTTCTTCTGCACTGCCTCCCCTCAATCCACCCACCTTCCTGGTGGGAAGTGCTAACATGCAAAGGGAGAGGGGTGCTCCTCCTGCCACTGATAACCTAAAGACTCTGATTTTAACTCTTAAGATGCTCTGTTTTACAGAGGAACCTTTCAGGAAAGAGGAAGGCAGTGTCCTTGGGTGGTGCCTGGGTGCAGTGGGAGGAAAGAGGAAGCAGGCTGGGAGCACCAGTGCTGCTGAAACATGGGGCCTCTTCACTGTAGCTTCAGCTCAGCTCCCCTGACTGATGAGGTTGAGAAGGTCAATCTCTTGTTTGAGGTCTTGGTAACAAAAACTCTCCCTACCACATACACCAAGTCAAGTGATCTCAGAAATGAAGATTTTGTCACTACCACGGACAAAATGTCACTCTGGCTTGGGAAATGTTTAGGAAATGTGCCACATGATGTAGCATAATCACTAGGATGCTGTCAGAAACAATATAACTTTCCTAATAACCTTTCTAATTAATTGTTTTAATTAACTTTTCCAATGAATTGTTTTAATTAACCATAAGCAGTGTGTATGTCCACTGTAACCAGTGTTCAGTAAGGTTTGTCATAAGCTGCCATTGTGAGAACACAGCTTGGGAAAATCACTGAAACTTTAGGTTTTGCTAAACCAATGTTGACATGCTTCAACAAACAAAGGCTGAGAGACCACAAGGACATTTTCAGATAAAAAAGAAACTAACAAAGACAATTCAGCAGTTGTACTGAAACACTCTGTATCTGGGAATAAAAAGATGATAAAAAAGACTGAAAATGTGGATTGATTAGCCGAAATGAGAAATCAGTAACCGTTAGAATACTAATTAATGAGAGAATTATGCAATTTATAGACAATGAATATTAGTTTCTCTGTTGGCTAGAATGTACAAATAGTGAAAAGTTTTGAAAGTGTGTGTGCATGTGGAGGGACCCCATGTGCACCCAGCGCTGTGAATTAAGTAAGCCTGCTTTCTAATACTAAAAAAAACAGAGAATTTGATTTATCCCAACATTTTCAGTGAGAATATTAGAATGAGGGTTCAATGACAAGTGCATTGTGGTAATGTTTCATGAAGCACAGCACATCTTTTCTTCAGGCTCCCCCTGGGCTCGCAGCAGCAGCTGTGGAAGGTGCATCCAGTAGGGAAGGGCCCATCCCAATTTACTGCCCCCACGTACCTCTGTGTCACAAGCGTCCTCACGACGGAGGAGAGCAGCTGCCCATCTCTGGACGACACCTGCATGACATACTGAGGGCAGCTGCTGGCTGGGGCACCGCTGCCACCAGGCAGGGCCTTGCCCACAGGAGCCAGTGGGTGCTCTGGTGGGACTCCCGGCAGGTGACTGCAGCGGCTCGTCCTCATGGCGCTGGGCAGCGGGTCCCCATCTGGGCAAGAGGGAGAACAGGGTGGTGGTGTGGGGGCAAAGGGCACGTCAATCCCTGTCTGCTACCCCTGTGAGCAGAAACATTCCTAGCTCCCTGCCCCAGACTCCTGAAGCCTGCTCGGCAGCTTAAAACATTATGTGACACTGAAAAACAGTCTGTCCATCTCAGACACAGCAAGACAGAGCTCTCTGCTGCTTTTTTTTCCCTCTGCAGACTCCTAAGGTCACAAGCGATAAACAGAAAGACTGAACCATTTGTCATCCTCGCCTTTGAAATGTTTCAAAGGGCTATACAATCTTTACTTGTGCCCTTTTTAGTTTGTCATAGGTTTGAAAAGAGATGTTGGAATTTTCTCTTTTTCCCTAGGGTCCCGTCCCCGTGTCCTCCCCGCACCCCCGCCATCTGTTTCTTCCAGGACGGGGAGTCAGGGAGGGGATGGGAGCAGAGCAGGGCCGCCCGTGCGGGGCAGCACAGGTGCGGGGAGAGGGGAAGGGATCGCGGGAAAGCACGGTGACCGCAGGGACACCTGGGAACTCCTTCGTTCAAGGGCTTTTGGGGTTTCGTCTGGGACCGGACAGTGCAGGAGCCCAGTTTTTGGCTGCCTCGTTCTCTTTTCCCGAGAGGAAGAGTTTTTCCGCACGGGACACCTCGCAGAGAATGGCAGAGAGACCGACCCATCTCGGAGGGAGGTATTCTGCTTTCAAGACTGCCTGTGGGAAAAAGGACTCCTTCATTCCTGACTGCCAGTGCACAGGGCTGCGAGCAGCTATAGTCCTGCATTTCCCCCCAACCACCCCCCCCGCCCCCCGCAAGGGATGCCGCTGCTTTCTCCCTCCCACCTGGGGAACTGGGACTTTGTTTGGTTTCCTCTGAAGGTTTTTGATTGCACCATTTGTCGTTTATTCAGATTTTGTTAATAAAAAGCTGTTTCTTTTTTCCTCTTCCGCACTTCCACCCGAAGTCTCTTAATTTTTAAGTTGTAATCTTGTTAAACTAAGACACAGTTTAAAGGCTGCTACAGTCTGCCAACAGGAAGAGTTATGTATTGGAGGAGAGAATGGCTGATGCACTTCAGATCCTCTCTGAAAACACTCCACTGGTGCTTAGTGTCTTCTATCACCAGCCCACAGCAGAGCGCAGACCTGGCAATTATTCCTGTGTAGGGCTTTAGTCACACAGACCTGCTTAACAACAGCCTGCACGCAGTGGTAATTTATGCCACAAGGTGAGGCAGAAATCACAGCTAGCTAGTTTGTTTCTTCTCTGCATTGCTCTTTAACGTGTGTTTTGTATGGCACTTTCAGCTGTGGTAATTGGAAAGGAAGGGTTATGCTGGTCACAAAGAGCCTGGGAATGTAAATTCCTGATACCTTGATAGGATGTTCCTGGCTAGGCGAGGGGAAGCTGCATGGTTCCACAGGCTGTGTGCCTGCAGGATTCCTCTTCAGGTCAGCATTTGTACAGGGTGGGTTAATCCCTCTGCAAAAGGGAGGAAAAGACTTCCTAGCATGCCTTGAGACACTTGGCTACAGTCACATGTAAACTGTGCAAGTTACAACTAGATATTCATATGTTGCAGAGTTTAACCCTCAAAAAAACCACATTTTGCATCGAATACCACAGTCACACCACAGTGTAGTACCAGCACTGCAGTTGAGAACTAAACATTAATAAACTCCTTTAAACAGTAGTGTTTCTCTGGGGTTTAAAAGAAACCTTGTAATTTGACTTCATTGGATTTGAGTAATAGTGCTAACCTTCAGAAGCTCCCTGAATGGAAGTTTCTGGCAGTAAGATTTTGTAGGACTGATGTGGGTACTGGCTCAGTTGTACCATGCAAATTTTCACACAGGGACTCATATTCTTAGAAAGGCATCTAAAATGGGAAAATGCTTGGCAAAGTGTTTGTTTTACAGGATTATTTTAGCTATTTTCAAACCACACATACCCCAGAAAGTGAACTGAGACCGCTGATGAGGATACAGCATTCAGAGAATAGGGAAGGAAATCAGACTCCAGGCTTCATTTACAATGAAAAGGAAGCAAATGGCTGATTTCAAAACCATTAACATATAAAAAATTCAGACTTTTTAAAGGGAATAAGAGCCAGGGACTCTCCAAGGAGACCATAATATTCAGCAACATTTCAGTTTTAAAATCCATGCTGAGACTGTTTGACAAGAATATTCAGCAGCTGAGTAGCTGCTTCATTAAACTTAAAAAGCCTAAGAATATCATGCTTACAGACCCATGCTACAGAATTATATATTTCTTTTCTGATTGCTTCACTGACCTCATTAAGTACAACAGCAGGTTTATAATTTTGTATAAAGTGATCATCCAAGCCTTTACAAACACATCCATCAATCATTTGCTGAGTTTAAGCACTTGCTGAAGCATCAGAAGAGCAACTAAATGCAAAGCTTTAAAGCACATGAGAAATAATGTAGCTATATCTCAGCAAGGATGTTAATTCAAACTTCTGCATGCAATAATGCATTTGATATCCCACGTTGGCAAAGCAAATACGCATAAACACTTTCTACTTTATTCTTTTTTAAAAAGAAATTTAGAAGTTACAACATATTTTTCTGATTTCAGAAGAACTATTTTCACACTAAATCAGTGTGTGTCCCTGAAAAGTAATACAATTATAGAATTAAATAATATGTGCTTAAATACAAAAGTCCATGATAAATTATGAAAATTAATTGTACTGAGAAGTACAGAGGTCCTAAACAAATCTGAAGCCAAAGCTGTCATTAAGGAGTTGTAAATTTTACCTGCCACTAAACCCCAACATCAGTATTTACCCACGTGTATGTATTATGTTCTGTCAAAATGTTTTGCACCTGAAAGAGGTGGAAATCTGTCAAAAATACTGTAATAGGAGAGAGCAAAAAAAAGAAGAAAACCGGGAAGATGTGTTTAGTAGTATTTATGAAGTGATGCAATATTTAATTGGGGAAGCCAGAATACCAATATTTATTTCAGATGCCAGAAAATTAAAAGAAAAGTGGCTGGATTTGGTATGATGAATGAATATTTGAAGAAATCTAGTAATTAGCTCTTTTTGTTTCTTTTCTGTGTCACTACACCCACTCATTTTGCACATCTCTTTCTACACAAAATCTAAGATTACCCTACTACTGTAATATTTAAATCAGATCTTTCCCTGTTCTTGTTTTTCTGTTTTGCCTTTGGTACCAGTCTCTGACGTCCTCTTCTCACTTCCATGACACAAGATTTATGGTCTTAAGCTCTGCCAGGGGAAATTTAGGTTGGATATTAGGAAGAAATTCTTTACAGAGAGTAATCAGGCATTGGAATGGGCTGCCCACAGAGATGGTGGATTCACCGTCCCTGGAGGTTTTTAAGATGAGACTGGATGTGGCACTTAGTGCCATGGTCTAGTAACCATGGCAGTGTTGGATCTAGGGTTGGACTTGATGATCTCGGTGGTCTTTTCCAACCCAGCTGATTCTGTGATTCTATGATTCTATGATTTTCTTCTGGGTGTTGAAAAATTCTCTCTTCTAGAGTGACTCTCCAATTTCAGCTCTTCCAACAATATGAAGCACATCCATCTTCCAACTATCTGCACTTTGCATGATCCTTAGAGAAAAATTACTATGCACAAAAGACCCATGGTTTAATTAAACTACTGTTATGGGTTTAGTTACAGGAGGACAGAAGGCAGGACTGGTTGGAAAACCTCTCAGAAGTTAAACACTTAGGCAGATAAGCTAATAGTGACTAAGGCACATCCCACTGCAAGTACATTAAGATGCTCCAGAGACTAAAACATGCATTGCAGTGACTGGATGACTTGCTGTGTGGTCCCTCAGCTTCCCCTTCCCACTGGAAAATGCAAAAGAAGAACCAAAAGTCTCAACTCCAGAGTACCGGGAAACTTTCTAGTTTTTTACCTACTAGGAAATTGTAGGAGGCGTGTCCAAAGGTACAGGGGACGTACCAGGGCAGAGAAGCCCAAGGCAACATGCGCCTAGATGGACAACCCCATTGGTTACAAGGTCACGTGGTTTTAGGGGATAAAAGGGAGTGCAAAGTTTGAATACAGTCTCTTTGATTTTCACCTCACGAAGAGCGGACTGCATTCTTTATCATATAAAGACCCCGCTGCTACAGGAAATGAAGCGAAGTACTGTGAAGATGGGACAGACAGAACCTTTCTAAAGGAGCAGGACACCTGCTAAAATCCTATTTTAATAACTCTGACAGACATGAAATTTTCTGTGCATCATGTCCAAGACACTCATAATGGGATTGTTTTAAATATTTCTTGACTCTTTGCTCCACAATCCACCGCGAAGAGCTTCAAGGATCCCCTCCTGGTTTCAATCACACTGGAGCTACTGAGTAAAGGAACTAGTGGAGTAACTGGCAGTTCCAGTTGTAGCCCTGGATGCTGTTCAAGCAACATGGCGGATAGATCCATAATTTTTTTCAGATTTTTCAGTTTCTTAAAAATCAGCTGGCAACTGTCAGCTGATCATTGCAACTTAGGAACCCTGTGCCGTGGGAGATGCCTGAAGAGCAGGCACAACCTGGGATCTTGAGCTGCTGCCCCTGTTCCCTCTGGCACTCATAGCCATGTCCTGTCCTTTCTGCATTTGCTTCCCCAAGACACCCAACTCATCAGCAACTTGTACTTTTTTATCTGGACTCAGCTCCTGTTCTGTTGCATGATCCTGTGTGTGTCTGTACCAGGGTTGTCCTTTGAAGTAAGAACAGCAGCTAAGGCCAGAACTCCTAATGGGAAATTCCTAGCATCTAAGGATCAGTGCAATTAGTACATTTGCTCTTGCTTGCTAAAAAATAAAGAAAATAAAAAGGTGCAGTAACTCTGAGTAAAAAATATCTGAAGTCCACAGGATGTGCACCTAAAGACCCCTAAGTCCTCCAAAGCAAGAAATTAATTCCTGCAACTTGAGAAGATGAATTCCTGTATCTGACAGTCACATGTGGCTTAGTATATATAAGACATGTAAGATGCTGTTTAACCTGTTCATTATGGAGATGTAAAGCCCTCACTGGCATTAAGCCATCAGTGACAGAGGCAGCATCAGGACACAGTAGTTCTCGAACATGGTGACAGGTGGAAGAGGCTGGAGAAAATTTTTGTTAAGGATCCATATAATCTAGTCAACAGCATTCATTCTGCAACAATTACACCACCACAATCTCCCAAGGAGCTATGAGAGACAACCGAATGGTGCAAGAAGAAAATGTAGTAATTGTTCACCAGTTGAGCAGGAGACATTTCACATTAAAGCACTTCAACATATAGAAAGTAGCACAAATCCCACTGATATTAAGCAATTTTACTCTGTTTCAGCCCATATTTTATTAATTTTTCATGCTGTAGGTAGCATTTTCTATTCAGGTAGTGTCACTGCAGAGAGCTCCAGGACCTTTTAAAACCT